TGAGAAGGGTGGCGGGCATTGGGGAGCAGCGGGATGGGGAGAGGTTGGTTAATGGACACAAAACTACAGCTAGATAGGAGGAATTCTATCTGTTCTAAATTCTGCTATTCTGTAACACTGTCGGGTGACTTCAGCAATTTATTGGATATTTTCAAATAGTAAGGAGGATTTTGAATGTGTCCAATGAAAAGAAATGATAAATGTTTGAGGGATGGATGTGCTAATTACCATGATTTGATCATCACACATTGTATACATGTACGGAAACATCACATTGTAAACCATTGTAAACCATAAATGAGTACAATTATTATTTCTCATACATATGAATGCTGTGAGAATTGCTTTGTAAATGAAGATGATCTGGGTTCTCAAAAAGCATATACTTTAATATATCAGATAATTTTCCTAAGCAAAAAGGTTGACAACTAGACCCACATGAAATTGTATACTACACAAATATGTAGCATTTTATTGAACCTACAATGTAGGTAGAACACATTTTTAAAAATACTCCAACTTCTGTTTTTATAAAGAATAATAAATAAGGGAAACTTTAAAGAAAGAGAAGAAATCCTAAACACACAATTCAGAGAGAAAAGAAATCACAGGAATATTAGCAAAATACAAAATGAAGTTTATATCTGGTTTCAATGAGCAACAATTTCCTTCCCAAAAAAATAAAATCCTTTAAAACTTCACTGTCTACAGTTGCCTGGATAAACAGATTCATTATTCAAACTGACTATCTGGTGGTCCCTGCTCTAACCTACTCATAAACAGAGAATATACAAAAGCACATCTTTAACAGGAAACTCAAAGGAACCAATCAGTTGGGAAAGGAGGTTTAAAAAAGTGGTTATTTCCTGTTTTCTCTCTGAAAACATGGGTTCTTGACTGTCTTTGTGTAGAGTGAAGAGTCTTTTTCAAGATTAGAAATGGAGAAAAAAGGAATGGATCACTGATCTATAAAAGAAAGCAATGACTAAGGTTTCAATTTATCTACTTAACCCAAAAAGAGGGGATGTTTACTTTATTTGTCCATGCCTTAACATACAAAAGGAGAAAAGTAAGTGAATATTACCAAATGAAAAGTTTTCTTAACTACTTTCTGATATATTATCTCTGGCTGTAAACAGTCTGTTTCAGTATCTTTTTACTGTTTTCTGCCAATTTTTACCCATATAATATGTACCACTGGTATCAAATCGCATTATATTAATGCTTAAAAGGATAAATGTTCTAATTTTAATATTTTTTTCCTATCAAAGCAACAGCATAGCCCAACCTTGTGCAGTGGTTAAATTCCAATTATATTATTTAAACTAAATAGTAGGCTCTATTTCGAAAACTCCTAATTTAAAAAAATTTATTTTTATTTTTTAGAGATAGGGTCTAGCTCTGTTGCACAGGCTGAAGTGCGGTGGCGCAATCATCACTGACTGTCCCTCCAATTCCTGGGCTCAAGGATCCTCCTGCCTCAGCCTTCCCAGTAGTTGGGATTTGAGGCATGAGTCCCAGTGCCCAGCTGAAAACTTATATTCCTCAAATATACTGCTGAATACAAACTAGATGGCATGATTTAAAGTGATATATTTATTCAAACAATGAAGAATAAGCATCTAATATAAATCTAATATATATTTATAAATAATGTAGCTCTAATATGCATAAATGAAAGTTTAACAAAACTATAATTAGCATATATTTTGAATTAAAAATTCCCTGTTATGGGTTTCTGCAGTAAGTCAAATAAATTATATTAAAGGTGTTTAACACTTTAAAAAATGTCAAATTTCCATTTTATTTGATCATTGAGCACAGGTCTTATTTTATAAACATTCTCCAAGGAGCTCAGAACTTCTTTTAAATTAAAAACCCATTAAAGCAAGATCTACATCACAGAAAGTAACTATTTCTGTCTTTCTGTTATAATAAAAGATAGCTCTCAAGAATTAAAAACAAATACATAGTGATCAGGAAACTGCAAATCAGAACTACAATGAGATATGAATTCACACCATAGAATGGTTATAATAAGAAAAGACAGATAACAACAAGGGTACTGAGAATGCAGAGAAATTGGAATCCTCAAACACTACTGGTAGGAATGTAAAATGTTGCAGTCCCTTTGGAAAACAGTCTAGTAGTCCCTCAAAAGGTTAAACAGAGTTACCATGTGACTCAACAATTCTACTAGGTATATACTCAAGAGAAGTGAAAACAAATGTCCACACAAAAACTTGTACACAAATACAGTAACTATACTCATAACAGTCAGAAAGCACAAACAACCCAAATGTCTGACAACTGATAAATGGATAAATAAAATGTGGTACGCTCATATAATGAACTATTATTCAGCAATAAAAAGGAATGAAGTACTGATACATGCTATAACCTTGATGAGACTTGAAAATATTATGCAAATTAAAAGAAACCTGTCATAAGAGACCACATATTATACGATTCTATTTATAGGAAACATCCAGAGAAAACACTAATCTATAGAGACAGAAAGTAGATTAGTGTTTGCCTAGGGTTAATGAGTTAGCAGAAATCAGGAGTGATTGCTTAAGGGTTCAGAGTTTCTTTTGGAGGTACTGAAAATGTTCTAACATTATCTCTGATGGTTACATAAATCTGAATATTCTAAATATCACTGAATTGTTTGTTTTTAATGTGTAAATTGTACGGTATGTGAATTATATTCTAATTAAACTGTTAAACCCAATCCTCCCCCCAAATCTTGTGCAATGGCTTTCAACTGCAGTTGCACATAAAATAACACAGGATACACTTTAAAAGTACAGACCCTGGAGCTACCAGAGAATCAAAATCTATGGGGGCGGTACCCACTTTTCTAGATTGTGGGGACAGTATAGTGGAAACGACCAAGACTTACATTTCAAATTCTGACTCTGCCAACCTAGAAGCATGATCTTCGGTAAATTACCTAATTTTCCTACATTGTCAGTTCCTTCTTCAGTACAATGGGAAAAATACTTATTTCATTGGGTTACCGTAAGGATATAAGATAGTATATTTAACGTATACACGGACAGAACAATGTATAGTATGATTCATGTCCTCAAACAACAGCCATTCTTATTATTATGATGTTATTTTTACTAACATTTATTTTCTTATTCCCTATAAAGAAACAGATGACGCAGACTTCTGCATGTTTGCCCCAGATCCATGCATCTAAGTTAAACTTTATAAATCATAATTCCTTATGAGAAACATTAAATTATACTTTTAAAAGCAGTTTACTTTCTGATGCCCTGCTTAGAATGAAACAAGCAACACTTACGATATTACCATTTTTACAGAAGTCCAGCAATTACAAAAACACAAACTTTAGTAATGTCACTAATTATGGGAAGGAGCCCATTAACAAATTCAATGGCTGTTTTTAAAATTACAATTTAGGAATAAAGGTCAAAAGACTAGGTAGCCACAAATACAAGCCATATAATTACTTAAAATATGCCAATTTTAAAAGATACATTCACTTTTTAATAAAAATGCTATCTATATGCTCAAGAACATATATGTATGTTAATTCCTAGGTAATTTGATAGCATTTCTATGGAAAAAGTCCTTAGAGATTTGTGAATTAAAGTCAGACTTTTAGTACTGAGTGTAACACTTACACAAAACAATAAGAACAAAGACAGGAAATAACTTTTATATTTCTATGTAGAAATTCAGCATTTATTTCTCCAATTGCCTGTAATTCTATTCCATAACACGACCCATAATACGCAGGTCAAATTTTGACTAAATATGACACTAAAACAAGTCCTTCAACAACCACATTTCTATCTGAAGACATGGAATGGAGCATTTTCACTCAGAAATTCCTGGGAATATTTTAATATCTCATGAGTAAGTCATACTCTGTAGTACATTACTTGAGAAAACCTATCATAAATTTTCTAAACACATTAAATTAAACCAAAATTTAATTAACATTTGGATGGTCTAGTTAAGAGTCATTATAAGACCAATACTGAAAGCAACAATATAATCTTTATTTTTTTCAGAATAAAATAAACTGCCTTTAATACAAAAAGAAAACATCCTTTAAAAAGCTTCATAATCAACATTTTATGACGATTTTTATAAATCTTATAAAAAGGGCCCACAAAGGCAATACCTTTATCAATTTTTCAAAACTGATGTCAATGGATTACTATATTCCAAATGTTTCAGAATGTTTTTCCATAATTAAAAATGCCAGAACTTACTTTTAATTTTTTACTGACATGTTCACATGTGTATATTCCCTATGTTTTTCTCCTACTACCAGGCTTTAAAAAACATTTTCTTTGTTTTAGTACAAGTTAGCTTTATATACAAGACTGGAATGAAAATTACTAAAATGCTAACAGCGTTGCATTTGCTACAGGTGACGTTTCTTCTACCGTTCTAAATTCTTGTGTTATTTTTAATAAACATGTAAGTACTTTCAAGATGCAAGAAAAATTTTTTTCCTATTTTCTTATGACACTGCTCTTTCATAAAGCTCTGATTTGTCAACCTTTTGTGGTAAATTAGGTAGAAAGTGATGTGAATTTAAACATCTTTCAGATAAAGATGGAAAAGTCAGAGAATGAGAAAATGTAGTTTTCATATATCTAATAAAATTGTATCAACAGATACTTTAAAAACAGGTAGCAACAACATGAAAATTAGGCAAACATCTTTTCTTCTTTAAATTTATTCTCCAACGAAAGTAAAAGAAGATTAGGTTTGTGTGGGAAAGATCTAATTACATCTATTTTCTAATTCACTTTTTAAGTCTATGAAACAATTTCAAGCTGTGTACTATTAACAGTGCTGAAAATGGAATAAAGTAAACCATTTAAAAAGTTGTAAGTTAGAAATAAGCTGTTTTTAGGCAAGTATCAGGCATTTTTTGATATGAAAAAGCACTCAAAATTATTTAGCATAACAAACACTACAAATAATAATAATCCAAGGCCTCTTACCAATTTCAGCAGGTAGTTGTTTAATTTTGTTCTCTCGAATGCTAAGCATGCTGAGTTTTGACAAGTTTTTGATGTCCTTTTCCACAGTAGTTATACGATTAAAGCGAAGGTAAAGAGTGGTGAGAGAATCCAGCCTATACACCACTGAAGGAATTTCTCTCAGTTTATTATGCCGTAAATCAAGCATCCGCAGCTTCTTCAAGTTATCAAGAGAGTCAGGCAAACTGGTAAGTGAATTTTCACTTAGAGCCAATGTCATGAGATTTACTAAACATCCCACCTCTGCTGGGAGGGACTGCAATTTGTTACTGTATAAATAAAGTTCTGTTAATTGAGTCAACTCTTTGATTGATGATGGCAATATGTGTATAGATCTCTTGGATAAGTCCAAACGCATTGAATTCTCTTCCCGGCATTTGTTGAGTTCTTTAATCACCTCTGCATTGCTGGATTTTTTTCTAGTCCCAGGTGCTGGGTTTGGCCGTTTGATCGTATTGTCAACTGAAAATGCCACCCCTGGTTGGGCAGCACTGGAGTCCTTCTTTCCGTCTTTGGCATCTTTCCCTTTGGTCTTAGGTTCTTTTTCTTTGCTCTCTTTCCCAAAACCTCCAGAAGCTTTTGCCTCCTTTTCTCTTTCCTTGGCTGATGGTACTTTGGGATCTTTTTCTTTAGAGTCTTTTTCTTTTCCTAAACTACTACTCATGGTGACTCAAGCCTGGACAAAAACTACATGAACTCCTTTTATTTTCCAGTAATTGAATTCAAAGATGAAGAGACAAAGATCCTACACAATCAAAAAAGTACTGGCTCGAAGAAGTAATCAGCATGCAGTAACATCCATCTGTTACATGTTGGATCTAAAAGCACTATGCCCATTTCTGATAATGCATTCCAACTGGTAAAATAGTGCTGGTCAATCAGTGATTCATTAGAATTCCTGAAATATAATATAGAGAGTATTAAATTACTTTAGATAATTTATATTAAGTAAATAGGCTCTGAAAAACAATCTTATTAGAGTTTGTCATTTTCCTCTGATTTCATTCTTGAATATTTATGAACATCCTTTATTATGTAAAAATCCATTTAAAACTACACAGCTTAATAAGGCTGGCTCTACCTTCAAGAAACTTGCAGTCTAATAGGAAGAGGTAAGAATGTAAGTTACTTTAGTATAAAATTTTGTAAGAGCTAAAAAGTGGAAGAAACCACAACAATAAGCTTAATATTTATTAAGTCCTTTCTATGTACTAGCATTATTCTGAGGAATTCACATATATTAATATAACACATACAACAGCCCGATGAGATATATTGTTATCCCCATTTTATATAAAGAAACACTAAAGCACAGAAATATTTTTAAGTAACTAACTTTGAGATCTTGGAAACATGATGGAGCCAATATTCCAAATTAGGTAGTATGTGCTCACAGCCTACGTTCCTAACCCACTACACTAAAACAGTTCTATCTACAATTGGCAGATAGCTTTAGATAATAGAAAGAATTTCAATGGTGGTGAAGATAGAAGGGAGAGCAGTCTGGCAAAAGAAAAAAAATGAACAAAGTGAAATATGTATGAAAAACAGCACAGTTCAGGGAAAGGGGCATTAAGAATCCGTACTTTAATAAGCACTCTATATGATTCTGATGGAGGTAGACCTGGGGATCATCTTTGAAAACCAGTGATAAAGGGCAATGTCCGATGATGTGAATATTCTAGGGACTGAAAAAGTGAGAAAGATCAATGGCACAGAGTTCTTAAAAGCAGAAAAAGTTTGCTGGTAAAATGACAGGCCGAAAAGATTGGCAAAGGATAAAAAGATTAGTAAAATATTTATGGAAGGAATCAGTCCTCCCTAAACATTTTGGAATTTAAAATTAGTAATTCTTATTTTGTGACTCTATTGTTAACTCTATTTATCTAACTGATAATTATTTGCTACTTGGGATTAAAGATAAAATAACTTCTTACCTGACTAGCTTAAGCAGTTAAAACAGTTATTAGAATTTTGTCAGACTACCAAAAGGATGTGATAATGTTAAGTGCTAAGGATTCTGCTAATTTATTTTTACAGGATGTGAACCCCACTCTATATACAAGCTTGCAGTTTAGACAGCCAAAACACTCACATATAACAAGTAATTGATAAGACAGTATATTATTAAATCCTCAGATGAGTGGCATATGCTATAGCACTTTTGAGAAAATTGGTATCAGTGAGAACGGTTGAGAAAAGCATACAGGAAGGACTTAGGCTAACTAGTCCTAGATTAACGGGTTGCGTTCAAGCAACTAAAGGAGAGGCGGCAAAGCATTACAGATGGGTGTCATGAAAAAGAAAGTTTTGCCTAGAATAAAGAATGGAGCTTAGTTTGCACAGGACACTGAAAATGTGTCACTTTGCTGAAGCAAACGGTCAAATGTGCAGAAATAACAGGAACTGGGGTAGAGGATGAATAATCTGTAAATCTGAAACTGCACAGTGTGAACTTTACTGGTATATAAGATTCTACAATTAAACAAACACGTCATTATTTGCTAGCACACCAGGAGAGCTCTATCTACTACTACCCACCCCTTTCGAAAAAAAGAATTATTTTGCACTACAATGGAGAGAGACTAAGAAAAACTCTAGAGATACTGATTCAGAAAAGAATGCTGATAAGCCAATATGAAAATACATTTACTAAAACCATACAACTGTAAATAATGGGAAGTATGCATAGCTAAAGGGTTACAGGCATTGCTTATCAATTTGTATTTAAGAAATGTCACTATATCAAGTTTCTGGAATCAAATTTCTATTTAGCAAGATATGTATATCCTAAATTTAGAAGGACACCTCCTATATAAAGATCAAATGAGATATATAAGGCGTAAAATCACATATATTAAGTACAGAGGATAGAACAAGACTATCCCTATTAAAAGGTAAGAAAACTCAGAAAGAAATAAAAAGTAAACTTTTCTAATGATAAAAACGAAAAAAGAAAATACATGACCTGAGATATTTGTTTAAAAACACAAATTTCCAGGCTCCATCACAAATCACTGAATCAAAGTTTTAGGGAGAAGGGGTCTAGGTATTTTATAAAAATAAATGCCTCAGCAAAAGCTTATCAAGTTCGGGAAATACAAGATATGACCAAATGTAAAATCTGAACAGCAGTATATTTAATATTATAGTTTTCAAATATAATTAAAAAATAATGAAGGTTGAAGGTAATGGGTGGGTCAAGAAACTGTATTAATGGAAATACAAGTTATTAATAAAGTTCCCATTGAAATCTAAAAGGACTTCCCATAATCTATAATACTATCCACTGTATCTGAAATTCAGACTGATACTTGAACTGTCTGATGGGTTTACTGCAGTGGTGATGAATTTGAACTAGTGACCCACAAACTCATCCTGTAGCTCTTGTACCTAATGAGATTTGCAGATATATATAGTTCAGTAATAGCTCATAAGAAATATAACTAGTCAGAGAATAAAGCTTTTGACCTTGACAAAATCACTATGCTTTACTTAAGGGAATTAACTCACCAGCCAGACTTAGCTATTAACTAAAAACTTCTCACATCCAGTAAAAATATTTTTGGCCAAGAGAACTAACAAGTTATCTGACAGTCAAAAATTAAGTTCTGGATCTAGTTCATACCTGAATCAGGTGACACTGTCAAACATTTTAGATAAGAAAACATATTGAGAGTAATCTTTCATGTTTCTTGGAAATAAGTTATTTATTTAATAGTTGTTTTTTAATCACTTCAACTCCACTATGTTTTGGGGGAAGGCTATATTTGCACACAATTTGAATCTTGTACCCACTTAGGTAATAGAATACACAGTACCCAGTCTCGAAATGCTTGAAATCTAGTGATAAAAGCATAAAACTGCATCAATAATTAAGCTGAGGCTGGCAAGGAGGTTTTTATACTGGGATCTTTACTACCCCAGAGGACTCTCTTATTCACCTCCACCTAATAACTACCGCATATGAAGCACTTGATATGTTAGCTCCCTTGAATACATTTAACCATTAGTGACCTCAAACAAAAAAACTATAAATTTGGCAGGCGTGGCAAATTTGCTAGGATTACACGTTTGTAATCCTAGCACTTTGGGAGGCTGAGACAGGTGGATCACTTAAGGTCAGGAGTTCGAGACCAACCTGACTGACATGGTGAAACATCATCTCTACTAAAAAATACAAAAATTAGCCGAGCGTGCTGGCGGGCGCCTGTAATCCCAGCTAATCGGGAGGCTGAGGCAGGAGAATCGCTTGAACCCAAGAGGCAGCGGTTGCAGTGAGCTAAGATTGCGCCACTGCACTCTAGCCTGGGCAACAGAGATTCCCCAAAAACAAAACAAAAACTACAAACTTGGTGGAGCTCTGAGTTGATACCATTTTTCTCTGGTACATAACTATATTCCAAATTATGAAAACTCTGAATTGCAAATTCCTAAGAGTTCCTCTAGTCCCAGTTTACAGATGAGAAAACTGAGGCACCAAAGTCAGATACCTACTAAGTGACTAACGAAAAATTCAAAACCAGGTCAGCCTGGTAAGGACTCGAAAGCCCAGATATATTCTTCCCCCATCCCATGTTGGATTTCGGAGATAAACATCCAAATCATGATTATATGAGGGTGTTGATTACAATTCATTTAGGCTTCTAAGTCAAGGGTGAGCAAACTTTTTCTGTAAAGTGTCAGATATTAAACACTCGAGGCTTTGCAAGACAGATTGCTTTCTGCTACAGGTACTCAATTCTGTCATTTTAGCAGAAAAGTAGACAATATGCAAATAAGTAAGAGTGGCTGCCTTTCAATAAAACTTTACCAAAAACAGACCTCAAACTGGATTTGGCCATCAGGCCATAGTTTGCCAAGCCCTGTCATAAGTCAGTGTCAGGTTTTAAATCATTCCTTTCAGGAACTATATTTTTATGCAAATTGGACACAAGAAGTAAAAAATGTAGGCTGCCAAATTTGGAAAGGCTGGTTATTCAAATTTAGTAATTTGGACTTTATCATGCAGACATCATGATTCTTTCAACTCTAATGTTCCAGCAGTATACTCTCAGGGGCTGCCAAGAGTAAATATAAAAAGCCAGTAAAGGACTCCTGAAGGAGAAGAGGCTATGATTACAGTCATATTTTAACAAAATTTACCTGACACTGTTAAGAATGATTGTAAACAGGACTTCAGAAGGAAGGCAGAAAATTTAAAAAGCTAATAATTTCGTGTTTAATCAGTGCCAGACATTTCAGCAAGAATTCTCTAATGTTCAATCAGTGCCAGACATTTTCAGCAAGAATCATCTGGGGAGCTTAGAAATCCTAGCCTCTAATCCAAGAATGCTAACAAAATAAGTATCTGTGGTAGGGAACAGTAAGCTGTATGTTTAAAGAGTTTTCGAGGTGATTCTATGTAGAGGCAAATTTGGAAGTCACTGCAATAGTCCACGCCAAACACGATAAAGGTACAATCTAACTATTTTTAGCTACAGTATTTTGGAATTTTGTAGGTTCACTTTAGGTTGTCTCAATGTTTAGAGAAATGCTACTGGCATTTAATGGGCCAGGTCTGGAGATAAGAACTATCCTTGCATACTGTACAACCTACAAATACCTACAAATATTCAACCTGTGTAACTAGGTGAAATACCTGTTTATAATTTTGAGCACCTTGAATCTAATTCCATTTTACACAAAAATTGCAGTACTTTTGCACTATTCTTTAAGAGTTATTTGTTATTTCTGATGATCACTGATACTCATACTGATCTCGGTATCCGAGTCACAAATATAACACATCCGTATCAGTTTGCACTTCTAACAATTACATTCATGACATATGTACAAACTTTTGCTCTTCATTGCTTTCTGGTATCGTGCTTGAACACTTAAGTACTGAAACATAAAATGTATAATAAATTCTTCATTGTTTTCTAATATCATTGTGCCTAAGCATTTATATAACATACAAAATGTACAATATTTTTCTTATATATCTCCTTTAAGAAATTACATAGATTTTTAAAAATAATGTAGGTTACTATCATTTTAGAATAGTAAGGAACCGTTACAGAATGTTGCATAAATGAGATGTTAGGTCTGATGTACTTGAGAACAATTGGTTTAAACTACAAAGGTACTAGAAAAACACAGGAAAAATTCTAGAGACAGAAAGCAGCTGGGGATGAACAGGAGTAGACAGAAGGAAGGGATTCAGGGTAATGTCTGAGTTGACAGCTTAAATCAGGTGGATGCAGCATGATTATTCAAGACAGGGAACATAGAAAAAAAGAAAATTAGTAAAATTTTGAACAAATTTATACTGAGATTCTAGTCTAGTCCACACTTGAAAATGTGATTTTAGAATAAAGGAGGGAGGTCTGGGCTAGAAATAAAGATACAGCTTTGGTGTCAACAGCAAAGGTTTGAAATGAGAATATCCACAAAATGCATGTAGAAGATGATACTGGTACTCTGCGGAAGATAAATATTTAGAAATGGATGGATGGGCCAAGTGCAGTGGCTCATGCCTGTAATCCCAGCACCTTGGGAGGCCGAGGTGGACGGATCACGAGGTCAGGAGATCGAGACCATTCTGGCCAATGTGGTGAAACCCTGTCTCTACTAAAAATACAAAAATTAGCTGGACATGGTGGTGCACACCTGCAGTCCCAGCTACTCAGGAGACTGAGGCAGAAGAATCGCTTGAACCGGGAGGCAGAGGTTGCAGTGAGCCGAGATCACGCCACTGCACTCCAGCCTGGCAACAGAGCGAGACTCCGTCTCAAAAAAAAAAAAAAAAAAAAAAAGAAATGGATGGATGACAAAGCCCTCAAAGAGAAACAGAGGTACACATAAACTAGGAAAGGGTATTGTCAAAGCAGCAGCCAGTTCATCTATTTAAATTTTAGAAGGAAGGAGTAGTCAAAAATACGTAGCATACTGGCAGAAAACTTAGCCTTAGAGAAGAAGGATCTTTTTTCCTTTCAATTAAAAAATGAGAATGGATTCAGCTACAAACAAATTTTGTTTGAAGGGAAGAGGAATAAGAGAGAGTTAAGTGAGATTATCATCTCCAGTTACATACAGAATCATATTCGTTTGGTGAAACAGAAGCAAATTAATCTGTTGAGAGCAAGAAAGGCAAAGTTTGCTAAGGCGTTGATGAAAGAAGTAAAAAGGGAATGGATGAGGACATAGACCAGAGATAAATAAAATTGCTGAGTCTGATAAATTTTGATATCATTAATTTGTAGTGGCATCAATCTTCAAAACTGTATTTGGCAATCTAAATTGTATTCCTAAATTAATTTAAAGTTGAGGGGATTCACAGAGCAAGTGTGGCAGAACAATAAGGAACCAGACAGTACAGTTTGGGCTGGCAAGGAGAAAAAAGTGAACCTAATAAGCTATTCGTTTCTTAGATAATTAGAGGAAAAGGGAGAGATCAAGGAACTGGAAGAGTGACTTGGAAATTGTGGGGGTGGGGTGAGGGGATGTCTTACCGATTAAGAATCTGATGTTCTTCCTGCAGGAGAATTTACATTTATCCACAAACATATAAGCACGGCATTATACACACCAGGTAAAAAACTATGTTCAATTAAGTCAAAGAGTTGGTATAACAGACGAGCATTAAAAAGCTAAAAAGACAGTAAATTATGGCAAAACAAAGCAATAAGCTTTCAATCACAACAGTCCTAAGAATTTGAGAAGAAATGCGCTGATTTACTCAAGCGCGTATTGGAGGCACTGAGTTGCTGAAACTAGAATACAGAGCTATTGATATTCAGGGCACTATTCTAACCAATCTTGCTGACTACAATAACGTATCTTATCTGATGAACCATTTGAATGGCATGAAAGCATGGAACAATACTACAACCAAAGGTACCCATTTATGAATATTGCTATTTCCAAACTTAAATACAAAGATTAGCAAATTACAGAAAGAAAATCTCTATTAAGTTAATGTTGCCTTAGGACACACGCCCAATAAAGAGCTTGTTTTCTTGATCTCTGAACAAAGTTCCAGGTTCACCAGAAAAGGTACCCTGATGTCTAATTCTGCAGGTCAACTAAAATTTTTCTTTCAATTAAAGAGGCTACAAATATATCTAACTTACTTACAAGAAGCAGCTACTTATGAGATATTTCACTGGCAATATATACACATTAAAAGGAATACTTTATTTTTTTATTTTTTATTTTTTTGAGACAGAGTCTCTCTCGGTCACCCAGGCTGGACTGCGGTGGCCAGATCTCAGCTCACTGCAAGCTCTGCCTCCCGGGTTTACGCCATTCTCCTACCTCAGCCTCCCGAGTAGCTGGGACTACAGGCGCCCGCCACCACGCCCGGCTAGTTTTTTGTATTTTTTAGTAGAGATGGGGTTTCACCGTGTTAGCCAGGATGGTCTCGATCTCCTGACCTTGTGATCCGCCCATCTCGGCCTCCCAAAGTGCTGGGATTACAGGCTTGAGCCATAGTTTGTTATTTAAAAAAAAGGATTTTGCCCACAGCCCAATCATTTATTTTTTATTTCTCATAAACATGAAATACATAATGATTATATAAGGTAACGGAAGCAGACAATCTAAACCCAAGCAGATCAAGATAAATGTAAGATTTAAAACATTCATGTTATACAAGACTATCATTTTTTAACATGTAAGAAGAGTTTTCAAACTGGAAAAGTCTTCAACTTTTTATTCCACAATTTCAACATATTTTAGGACAAAGAGTGCTGCTGTGAAAAACAAAGATTTTTTAAAAAGCAGCAAAGTATCACAGGACATTAGGCAAAGAAGCAGAATTACAAGCAGTTATATCAAAGAAGCGGAGTGGTCTTAAGGTATAAAATGTTGTCAGGAGTTTGAGACCTGCCTGGCCAACATGGTGACACCCAGTCTCTAGTAATAATACAAAAAAAAATTAGCCGGGTGTGCTGACGCACACCTGTGATCCCAGCTACTCGGGAGACTGAGCTGGAGAATCACTTGAACCCTGGATGCGGAGGCTGCAGTAAGCGGAGACTCCAGGCACTCCAGGTAGGGTGCAGTGAGCGCCACTGTACTCCAGCCTGGGTGACAAGAGTGAAACTCTGTTTCAAAAAAAAACATGAAATGTAAAAAACCTGTTGGATGCACAGGAGTCATTTCAGGCAGTTAGGCACATGCAGATAGCAGAGGAAGCTATTACAGGTGACTCTGCAAAGCCTACACTTTAATTCTCTACATGTGTCAGTGCATGTGCTACCCATACATACCCATATATTTGGGTTGCTTGACCCATGTACTTAAAAAGCATATATTTAATAAGGTTTCCATCATTTACAACTCTGTCATATCTTCCAATTTTGATGACAATGCCCTTTAAATTATCTGATATTATTTTATTTGCTTAACTGTTCCTTATGCCTTTATACCCTTCCTTCCCCCTAACTCTTCAGTGAGAACAGGAACTTTGTTCAGTGTTGAATGAACATTGTAATATCAGAAAATAAAACATGTAATTAAGTCTCATATTTCCATTTCTACTCTAGGACAATGTGCTTTAGTAAAAAAGAAATTATAATATTTTGGTTGAAACAAAAATTACAGAAAACAGAGCAATGACATAAAGTCATATTTATGTATTTCTTGGTTAAAAGATTCTGTTTTCCCCCTGAATTCCCTTTCACACTACAGGTTAACAGATGTCCCACACATGATATTGCAAGTAAGAATTTATTAAGTCAGCAGTTAATGAGTCTACACAAAATTCTGCATACAGAGACCTCAATAAATGTCTTTTAAACTGAACTGAGATAATCAATAGATTTTCCCCCCAATCTCTCTAAAAACCTCCTACCTCATTTGCATCAGACTTGATTTCCTTCCCAATCAGATCTTTATCCCAAACTGCTCCATTTCAGTAAAAGACAACATTCGGTTAAGCAAGAAACTTAAGAAACTTAAGAGTTATTCCTATTCCTCCTTCATTTCCCATATCCAAACCTTTGGCAAGCATGGTGGACTTTAGTAAAAATGAATCACAAATCGTCTACTCTCCACATTCATTGCCTTCACTGTACTCCAGGCTCTCATCATCTCTCTCTTGAACTACCTTGGCCTGCTGATTCCCACATACTTTAAATCCATTCTCCAAAAAGTGAACAAAGCACTTTTTATCCAAATAGTTCAAATTACTCTCCTGCTCAAATTCTCTAATGGCTTTCCACTGTAAGCAGCACAAAATGTTACAGAGGACCAGAAATGGCTAATTTTTCAAATATTAATTAGAAGAAAAGACATCTTAGAGTTGCTCCATTAAATCTCAAAATGAACATATTTTAGGAAAAGGTTTCCCTGCCTGTCTCTTCAAACTTGTCTCTTTATCAATCTCTCATTGGCTTACTATTCCCCAGTCACATTGCTCTTTCTGTTCCTTGAAAACACCAATTTCTTTCCTACCTCAAGTACTTGTCCCTGTTGCCTCTGCCTGGAATGTTATTCCCCTATTTTCACATGGCTGACTCTTTTATTAATATTTAGGATTCACCTCAAGCTTCACCCCTTAAATAAAGCCTTCTCTGACCATCTACCCTGTTTTATTTTCTTCAAAACATTTATTAGTATATGAAATTACTTTACTCTTTTATGTTTATTTGCTTATGATACATCCCATTTCCCTGCAAGAATGTAAGCTCTGTAAGACTTCCTTCCCTAAGATAAGAGACCTTGTCTGTCTTGTTCACAGATATATTGTTAACATCTGTATCAGTGCCTGTTTTATAGTAGTTGATTAGTACCTATATTAAAATAACAAAATATTTAAACTTTAAATTCAAAGGCACTTTTAATTTCAAAGTGATTTGAGAATCTGCTGCAAAGAAACTAGCTGATACTACCCCTTTATTTTGATGCTAATATAAACATTTATCCTATAATTAGGTAGTGAATGAGATGATTCTAGATAACCAAGTCTTCTGATTCCATAGTCAATATACCCCTGCCACCCTAACCATGCTGCCTCTCTCATGTTAAAAAATGTAGTATCAGAAAATAAAACATGCACTTAATTCAAATATTTCAATTTCTATTCTAGGACAGTATCATTTAGTAAAAAAGAAACTGAATTTGTAATATTTAATATTAATGTAAGTAAATATTTTAACTTAATAGTATATACTGTGACACTAAATTGGAATATAAACATTAACAAATTATACATAAAAACAATGGACTTTTTTCCTTTAAAAGAAGCAAACAGCAGCTTTTTCTGAAGACAAATTACTTAGAATAAAAGTATAATTTTTCAACAAATTGTCGGTCAACGAAAACTAAATTAGTGCTTATAGACAAGCCAAATTAGAAAATAAAATGAACGAAGACAGATGACTTCACTTAGGTTAAATACATTAAAAAGTAATAATTATATATAATTAAAAATGTGTTTCTCCTTTTTATATTATAGAAGAGGTATCACTGGATATCCATTTTTAAAGTATATTTCCTTTTCTATTCCCCCCAATCCATCAAATATGTGGCATAAGATGGTAGGTTTAAATATATATATACACATCAAACCTATCAAAATATATATATACACATATGTGTATGTGTGTGTGTATATATACATATATCAAAGATTTACTGTAACTACACACAAGTTATACAATCCATCAACTGTGCTCCTTGGTGTTACCCAATGAGATGAAAACTATGTTCACAGAAAAACTTGTACACAGATGTTTACGGCAGCTTTATAATTGCCCAAACTTAGAGGCAACCAAGATGTCTTTCAATGGGTGAATGAGGTACATCATAAAAAATACAACATTAATGAGCGCTAAAATGAAATGAGCTATCAAGCCACAAAAAGACACATTTTAAATGCATTTTAAAAGAATTTTAAATGCACATTTCTAAATGAAAGAAGCCAATCTGCAGAGGCTACATACTGTATGATTCCAACTATGAGACTTTCTGGCAAAGATAAAACAGAGAAAATAAAAAGATCAGTGTTTCTAATCATTAGAGAAACGCAAATCAAAACTACAATGAGATACCATCTCATGCCAATCAGAATGGCAATTATTAAAAAGTCAGGAAAAAATAGATGCTGGCAAGGCGGTGAAGAAATAGGAACACATTTAAACTGTTAGTGGGAATGTAATTTATTTCACCCATTGTGGAAGACAGTGTGTCAATTCCTCAAGGATCTCAGGAAATACCATCTGACCCAGCAATCCCATTACTGGGTATACAGCCAAAGGAGTATAAATCATTCTACTATAAAGATACACACACATATATGTTTATTGCAGCACTATTTACAATAGCAAAGACTTGAAACCAACCCAAATGCCCATCAATGACAGACTGAATAAACAAATGTGGTACATATATACCATGGAATACTATGCAGCCACAAAAAAGAATGAGCTCACGTCCTTTGCAGGAACATGGATGAAGCTGGAAGCCATTATCTTCAACCAACTAACACAGATACAGAAAACCAAACATTGCATATTGTCACTCATAAGTGGGAACTGAACAATGAGAACACATGGACACAACACAGGGAGGGGAACAACACACACCAAGGCCTGCTGCGGGGTCAGGGGCAAGGGGAGGGAGGGCATTAAGATAAACACCTAATGCATCCAGGGCTCGAAACCTAGATGATGGGTTCATCGGTGCAGCAAACCATGATGGCACATGTATACCCATGTAACAAATCTGCACATTCTGCACATGTATCCTGGAACTTAAACTTTAAAAAAAAAAAAAAAATCAGTGATTGCTAGGGGTTGGGGAAGTAAGGATCAATAGGTGGAACACAGGAATTCTCAAGGCAGTAAAGCAATTCCCTATGATACTATAGGGATAGCTGTATGTCATTACACATTTGTCAAAATCCATTGAACCTACAACAGTAAAAACCCTAATGTAAACTATGCGCTTTCGGTGATAATGATGTTAATGCAAGTTTATCAATAATAACGAATGTGCTTACTCTGATGCAAGATGGTGGTAACGGGGAAGACTTCGCTTGCAGGGTGGAAAAGGGAATATATGGGAACTCTACTTTCAACTCAATTTTGCTATGAACCTAAAATTTATCTAAAAGTGAAGTCTATATTTTAAAAATGTAACTGGAAAAAATCACTTAAAATACTGCTTTATTAAAAGTTGAAAA